TGTTGTGACGTGGGAGACGAATAAAAACTTAACTGAAGCTACACAAGTGAATTGGTATCTTATCGTTCACCCCCTCAATATTGGACAAACAGCTGACACCTTGTCTCTGGGGGGAGGGTCTAAATACCCTTGATGGGATTGAGTGAGAGCCCATTTTGCCCCATCCAGTCTCCAACAGCCTCTAGATACTGAGATAGGACATCCACGCTCAAAGGGCCTGAAGTAGAGATATAAAGCTGAGTGTCTTCCACCAGTGTAGTAGATTTTAATGGATAATAAATGAATGAACAGCAAATAATATCTGGGGAATGAGATACAGTTTATGTTGGACAGGTGTATGCAGACCAGAATTTTGTTCTCAGCAGGTCATTGAGAATATATGAATATGAGAGAAAAGTATTATTGTACAGTGGTTGCTTTTGAGACAGTAAATGAGCTTGAATTATGTGAACATAATTGCTGGAGATGTAATTAAATAAGCAGTTGAATTTTAATTGCTAAATGCTTTAAAGTGTATTTGATGAAAATAAAGTATTTGTGAGAATAAATAGGATGCATAGTGAATGGTTAAAATTGAGCAAGGTGTAAGATGTTTAAAGTATTTGTAGATAAATTACAGTATATAAATGCTTATGGTGAAATAAGAAATGAGTTTAGTGTAGACATGAATGGATGTGGAAAATACACGACATATATTTCAGAAAGTAGACAATATGAGCTTAGAATCTGTATGGTTTGCAGTGAATGTTACTGTGATGATAATATTACTGTATGATAAGTTCAATAAACTTCAAAGTACTATATGATACAGAAAGTAGCATGGATCTGAAAACTGATATACTGAAGACCAAGGTAATAGTTATTGCTCATTTGATGACCAGTTTTATAGATTGTGGGAAGCAACCTAAATAAGCAAGTGAATTTCTCTGTGCAAAATCTGTAGAAAGGCAGCCTGTGGCCTGTTCTAAGGAATAACCCATTGGTTGAAGGAAGCAAAAGTGGATGGATATGAAAGTGTGTTTATTTCAACTTTCTTACATGGAAATAAAAGCTAGAAATATTGGAAGGGAAAAACAATAAGTCAAATGTGATAGCATTGAGTTAGTGTAGATGTATGTGCTCAAATAAGAGGAGACAAGGCCTGAGTGATGAGAAATGAGTGATGAAAATTTGTTGGTTTATTTATTTTATTTATTTATTAAATTTATATGCTGCCTGTCTCACTATCTAAAGTTCCTCTAGGTGGCTTACAATAGCATAGGTTAAATACAAAATTGAGTAATAACTATGAAACCAATATGTTCAGATTTTATTGTACTATTAAGAGAATGAATGAAGACTGATTCCAAATACATGAGGGAGGAATAAATATACCCTTCATACATTGCTTCATTGCAAAAAAACAATATAAATTGAATGAAAAAAAAAATCCAATAAAGTAATAATTAAGACAAACCCAAAAATGCATAGACCCTGACCGTGGTGTGTGTGTGAGAGAGAGAGGGGGGGGCGGGGGCAGATATAGAATATTTTGTGCTGATCCACCTTTTTTCATTTAGCGTCAAGTTCTGCAAAACGTCTGCCTGATGTAACTGTGGAAGTCCCCGGGGAAGCCAAAATCTCCTTTGCCCAAGGTGTCATAAAGAATTTACAAGGTATTGATTCTACATCTTCACAAGATCATATTCCAAAATTAGATACAACTTTCCATATAGCAAGATATCCTTTAACTATTGATATTCAAACTCCGTTCAAAGAAAGAGTGGTGCCTCTGTCTTTTACACCATCTATAGGAAGAACCGTTCCATTCAGCAAAATAAAAAATGGCACCCGTGGAGGAGCCCTTCTTCCAAAAAATGAAGCAGGGGCTGCTGAAAAACCTTCAGACTATAAACTGCAGGTTCAAGTGGATATCACAAGGAATACCTCCACTCAACAAGACATGGGCACAAGGTTGCATGCTATTCAGCAAAGCCATACCTCAACTGATCTTACACCTTCTGGAAAATCTCTTGGGATTTCAGCTACCCAGACTAATTCTGACCTTGGTTCTAAAACAAAGTATTTGAGACAGTCTGTGTGGACCACACCAGTGCCGTCATCTTTCCCTTGGAAAACGTTGTTTTCTCTTCGTATAGATCAAGGTAGCCAAGCACAAAGGAGCTCTATGCAGTCAAGAATTTCAGGAAGAACTGCTTCATTCAGAAAGCCTTATGCCTCAGGTGTAAACCATTTGGGAGTCGATTGGAGATCATTTAATAAGCGAGTCAACTGTGCAAATATGCCATGTTTCCCTGGTGTGCCCTGTGAATCAACAAAGTATCAGACATTCAAATGTGGACCCTGCCCCTATGGATACAGTGGTGATGGAATACAATGTTATGGTAAGAATTTTTGAGGGGGCGGTGGGAGGGGAGGAGCGATTACTAGCACTCTCTACATCAATTCATGATTAATTATTGGGGGTATTAAGAATATTAAGAATGCCCTATTAAACTCATGTAACCCGGCACACCACATGCATTAATAGATTCAAAAATTTATTGCAACACTTGTGTTGGAAACTATGGGGAAAGAAATTACCAGAAGTGAATAATTTAAGTTTTGATGTCAGTCTTCTCAGACTTTCTCACGCTATTCCCATATTAGCAATGAATATATATCTATAATTGGTAAATGTAATTAAATTGTGTCTTGAGAGAATCAACTAGAATAAAAGATAAGAGATATTCTTGTAGAATATTTATAAAACCTTATTTCCTTTTTTTACCTGAATGAAGACAGCATTGTTTAAAATGGTGAATGTGAATTCTGTATATAGTTTGCCATATCTAGTTACATGATATTAATAAAAAGTTATTTATTTTGAAAAAAAGTTTAAAAAATGGAACCTAGCTTTGTAGATAAAAAAATGAAATGCTCCAGTTGTGTAACTATTATGCTACGAAATACAAAATATATCAATGTCAGGTACTTGGGTATTTTTTTCTCATTCTCGTGGATCATGTAATAGTATTACATAATAGGATTACAGTATGAAGGATGGTACATGAGACTATCACTTAAGGGTAGAAAATTGGGACAAATACAATATATGAGGGAGGAAAAGCTGATGTGATGACCTGTAGTGTCTCAAAACTAACACATTCCAGGAAGATAACCAGGGAGAGTCCATGGGAAGAACGCCAACAAAGATAAGGAAAGCACTAATTTGCTATCCAAGGAAAGCACTAATTTGACTTCAGCCTCTGTGAACACGCAGTTCCAAACTCTTATACAGAGCTCACAGCTGCAACCCATGAGGAGGATCATGGCCTTCTCCTCCCAAGTAGTCCATGCTTTTCCCTGATCCTCTCCTCCCTGCGTGCCCTAGGATGGATAGGGGATGGGCCTGGATCCTCCTCTGATTGCTCAGCCAGCCTCTGCCCTTCCCCAGCCTCCTCCACCACCTCTGGAGCCACACTTCCACTGCCTGTTGGCTGTTCCTCCTCTTCCTTAGAGTCAGTCTCCACCAGGGGCATGTCAGCTGAATTCGTCAAAATTTAGATGTTTTTCAGCATGTTAGGTACAGAATTATACAATCTGGTTAAAATAGAATATTTTGTCAATTTCTAAAAAGGCATAAATGAATGTAGTACTATATACTGTACTTGTGTATTAAGTCATACATAGTAATATGTATGACTTAAAAGAAAAAAAAACTTTGCTTTTGAATTCTATCAGTAATACTCTGAAGAGAAAATTAATCTATCATTTAAAAGCCTATACATGACTTCAGGGCACATAATCATACTGCATATTTCTAAGGGAGAATATTAATTTGGCTGGTTAAATTTAAAAAAATGAATTAAATGTTTTAAAGGACCACATTGCTGAAACCTACTTAATAATTTGGCAAAATGACTCTTTCTTCTGTTGTTAGGGTTAGAGTTTAATTGTTTTCCACATGCTTTGATATTTTCAACTTGCTTATCCAAAAAAATTGCCTAAATCTATATCTATATCTATATCATCTAATCTATCTATCTGTCTGTCTATCTATCTACACACACACACACACACACACACACACACACACACATTTGCCATGGGAACAATTGGCAGTGATATGACAAATTGCTGAAGTGACAAATTAATACACCTCAATAACAGGTCCTCTTCTTATCTTTTTACAAATCTTTTCTTATAAAACATGGTAAAGATGTTTTAGAAAATATGGGTTCTAGGACCCTCATCACTACCTGGGATCATTAAAAGAGTGAGATGCAAAGACATAGATATGTGTGAACCATCTTTATTTATGTATACAGTCATAATGATGATTATATGAACATCTGACTTCTATATAGTCTTCAGATTAAAGAATATTGACCATAAATTTGGCTTAATCATTATCTAACTAATGATGTGATATAAGATGAGACCTTTGCCAATTATATCACCTGATTATGTGACTGCTGTCTTATTTTGTTTCAACACAATTTTCTTCATGCCCTTGTTAAGAGTTGTCCAGAAGTTTCACTAAATACTCAATCTTCTAAAAAAATCATTCTACACCAAGCTGCTGATTTTAATTTCCATTTGGAAAAATTCAGACTTGTTGCATAGTCAAATCATTACATCCGTTAAGGCAGCTTACTATTTATTTTATAAGATCTCTGATGTACTGGGATTTGCCCTTATTTTTCTCTAAGAATAACACACATATAGAATTGGAAACACATTTTAGAACATAGTTTAGAAGATGGCAAGTGTTTCTTGCATTTATTGATTTGAAGAAGTTGGATGTGATAAGAGACAAAGCAAAAAAAGAGTTGGAAAATTAATCTTGTCAAAGGGCATAGAATGTTGCCACTTAGTCTTGACTCAGATGTGACAAAAGTCATAGTGAAAGCATTTACTCATAGAAACATCCAACATAACTTCAAGGTTCAATTTAACCTCATTTAAATGGTATTGCTACAAGCATTGGACATAGATAGGAGAACAGTTTGTTTTGTTAGCTTTATATGCTGAATCTGACTCTCTCAGCAATGCACAGTTAAAATGGGCTTATATTAATTCAACAGTCCCTAAACGCTTCTCTCTGCCTAAATCTGGGCATACTTTAAATTCTGGGAACCACCTCTCTATTTCTGATTCAATTGGAATTTACCAATTATCATTGTTTTAGCCATTGTCCATCTACAGCAAGATGAAGGCCTCTTCCACATTTTTCCAACCAATGCAGTTCTGAGCTTTCTTTTGCCATTTAGGCCTGCAATACTTCCTGATGTCATTGAACCAGGGGTGGGATTCTACCAGTTCGCACCTATTCACTAGAACCGGTTGTTAACATTCTAATCAGTTCAGAGAACCGGTTGTTAGAAGAAATTACTGGCCTAATCTTGTAAGGAAGGCAGGAAGGAAACATTCTGGTGTTGTTTACAGAAACTGCCTGTCCATTAACCCTTATTACATTCTTGGCAGGATTAGACTTCCTGTCTCAGGAACGTCTCTGGAGTTTTTTCCCCCTCCTTTGCTGGTACTTTGCTTGTGTGGAGTGACCAAAGTTACAGTGGCACTGAAAAAAGTGACTTATGACCATTTTTCACACTTATGACTGTTGCAGCATCCCCACAGTCATGAGAGGCCGGGCGAGGAGATATGTGCCTCAATGTGAGTGATATTGAGTTAGACACACCCAGCCAATAACATGACCACCAAGCCATGCCCACCAACTAAGCCACGCCCACAGAACTGGTTGTTAAAAAATTTGAATCCCACCCCTGCATTGATCCATCTTGTTTTATGTCTCTTTTATCAAGTGAGATCATTTTTATGTCTGCTTGGTCCACCTGCCATCAGTTCTTGCTATGTCACCAGCCCATTTCCATTTCAATTCTTGTATGCTCTTGATGATACCATATACTTTTGTTTGTTGTCTAACCCATGTGCAGTTCTTTCTATCTTGTCTTGTAATTCCAAGCATCTATCTTTTCGTGGCTCTTTACACAACTCATAGCTTTTGTATCGATTGTGAGGTTAGTGTTCATTTTTTATTTGCACATGTTAAAGCACTGATCAAAAAAATTTCTCTTATGCTTAGCTTGCTGAATGCTTGCCAACCACATTTAACACGGCATTCAGTTTCCTTTATTGTATCACCTTTCAAGCTTCCTGAGGGGACATCCCAAGAGACATCACTGGAGGTTTTAAAGAAGAAATCGGACAACCATTTGTGTGAAATGTTATAGGGTTTCCTGCTTGAGCAGGGGGTTGGGCTAGAAGATCTCCAAGGTCCCTTCCAACTATTCGGTCAAGTATAACTGTAAGGCCAAGGTATATGTGGTGCTCTACTATGTCTAGGTCTTGTCCAGATATATTTTTTTCTTTCTTTCTTTGGTAAATTTATTTAACATAATGTGGCTCTTTTTCAGGTTTATTTTTAAGCCAAATAGTTCCCTTGCTTTGTGTAGCTCTTGTATGTGTCTTTGCAGCTCTTCTGGATCTTGCAGGAAGAGAACAACATCACCTGCAAATATTAAGTGATTTAGGGCTAGGGTGATTTAGGCGCCATTGATTTTTATTCCACCTTTTGCCCAGTCTACTTTGTGAAATACTTCTTCAAGGTAAGCTGAGAAAAGGATAGGTGATATGGTATCGCCTTGTTGTACACCTCATTCTATGTTGATTTCCACTTTAATATCATTAAGGCAAATTGTTGCCATTGTTTTTTCATGTTCCAAAATACGATTTTTGAATAGCTCTGAATATAATTTTCCAATTATTTCTAACATTTCCTGGCTTGTTCTACACATAAAGCCATCTTCACTGCAAAAACCGTTCTTGTATTTATAAGCTTGTATTTTGCTCTATTAATCCCTTTGTTTTCTTCAAATGTCTTTTTCACAAGCTTCAGATTAAATTGGCATGTTTCTTCTTGGATACTTTTTCTTATGGTCTTGCAAAGTTCAATGTACTCCAGTTTATTAGTGAAAGTTCTGGTATTCTTTATTGTTCATTGTTTTTTCAGTAAACCAATGGTTTCATCAGAGCTTTTTTGACTGTACAAAGTGTTTTCCCGACAGTGCTATAGATGTAGCAGATTCAAGGATGCTTTTGACTATTTGTTCATTTTGGTTCGTAATGTTCATCTCTTCCAAATCTTCCAATAGAGCAAAGCGATTTGATAAATCTCAAAAATCGCTGTTATCCTCCAATAGCTTATCACTCCACTCTTTATTTTTATTTTTTGTGACATCTTTATCATTTTCATACACCCTTTTCAACAGTCTATCTTCACTTTAGCTTCTATGGTGACTTCCAATGTTAAAACAATTGTTGATAGTACAATTGCAGAATATGGTTTTATCACTTGACGTGATGTAGTCAATTTCGCTTGTCTACCCAGACGGACTCTTCTATGTCCATTTTCTGCTAGCTTTTTTCTTGTAAAATGAGTTTATGATATAAAGTTCCTGCCCTTCAGCAAAATCTACTAGTCTATCACCTCTGTTATCTCATTCACCACTTCCATATGGGCCAGTCACTTTTTCTCCAGGTATTGTTCTTCCTATTCTTTACCAGGCCAGTGGATGAGAAGAAATATAGACTAATTATATTATAATCCACAACTAAGAATAAAAGAGAGAATAAAAAAACAATTTTTATTATAAATACAAAGGAAATAATTGTATTGTATTCATACTTCTTCATCCTCCTAGAAAGAAGTACTCTATGGTGGGTTTTTATAGTCAAGTATCTAAATGAACAAAGATAAGAATTATAAATACTTTCCACAAAGGAAGAGTAAATTAGGATAAATATTCATAGCTAGGGTAAATGTTATTGATCTGTTGTTTTGATTTGTGCCTTGCTTTTCTATTCTAATGAATACTCAAGATGGCTAAATAATAAGAATATTGCATAAATTAAAATTAATACTAAAATTAGCACTAAAATCAATTAGCAGTTATGAGCTTAGCAAAAGAGGGATATTTTACAGATGTTCTAAATGCTGAGAAATTGGAGGGAAAACATAAAATCCAAGAGTTGTTCCATATCTGAGAGCAATAGAAGAAGAGGTCCTTGTATAGTATTAGAAATAATGGGGGGGGGGGGGCAGAGATACACAAAAGGGTTTTGTGTTCAAATCTGAACAGCTTCACGTTGTTAATCTCTATAATAGGCTCTACAAATGTGTCCACTAAGCAATTGTTGATCTTGCAGTACCAGTAGTATATGATCTGGTACTTTCTACAGGTTGGTAGTTTAGCTTACAATTTGTACAAGCTGATGTTTCTGCACATTTTTCAAAGATAGTACCAGCCTAAATAGAAAGTGTAGTAATAATACCGATGAAGAGAACCAACACCAAATTTATTCAGCCCAGAAGCCTGCCAGCACTCTTATATTGGGAATTTGTGTTTTCAGAGGGAGAGTTACTCCATCTCCAAGACCTCATTTCCTATTTACCAAGAATACCTTGGTTTGAGTAGGTTCTCTCTTATCCTTCCAATTATCAGATTTAGGCAATGTTTAACATATTGATTGCTTTTTCAGTTAACTGATAAGGAGCAATATTGATGACACCACACTCTAAATCTCTTTGTGACCTTCTCCAGCTGTTTAATGAATAAAATGCAAGATAAGATGCAATCCTGTGGAACACCACAGGTCAACAGCTAGTGTTGAGCAATACTTCCATTACGTAAACTCCTGGCATCAGAGTGAACCATTGTAAATATGTGTTCCCAAAGACCAGGCCCCCAGTTGAAATAGAAAAATACTGTGGCTGACAACAATGAACCCTTGAGGATTCCAAGGCACTTAGCAGTTCCCAAAAAATAATCAAAGCAGCTTCATGATTGAATTAGATCCAGATAATTAGAATCCTTCATAAGCATCTGGAGGGTGAGACTATCACATTCTTGATCATCTTTCCCAGAAATTATATTTATGAGATAGGCCCATAATTGGTAGATAGATTCAGGTCAAGGCTGTACTTTTTCTTTTCATTAGAAATCTTAGAAGTGCCCCCTGTGGGTAGGAAGAAACACCTTTCATCTGAGCAAATGTTACTCATTTCAATTAACCATGTTTCCCAAGTTATCCTAGCTAATTGAATTAAATAAATAAGATCTTATGTAACTTTGACGCATCTCTATATAAACCTCTCTTCGTGTGGTATTTGTGACAATGATTTAAACCCATATAAAACTGTGTATAACATTGGTTTCATATAGTTATTCTGCAGTATCAGATCATCAGTCCCATTCAAACAGAATATCTTGGGCCAGCTACTACTAATAGAGTTCATGGCTAGTTCATGGCTATCAAAGAAGACATGCAATCCCAGATTGTTTTTGATTGAGCAATCTCAGCATGTACATTATAATTCTCCTGGCCAAGAAACCCCAGATAACCTACGAACATATTAGAGCATCATAGTGTGTCATCATAAGAACATATCATTTGTATCATTATTTTACAAATAACCCAACATATCCCATACCCTTCCTCCTCCTATTTTACCCCTAAACAACAACAACCCTGTGTGATTACTTCAGCTAAGGTGGAGTGACTGCCCAAAGTCACCCAGCTGGCTTCCATGGGACTTGAATTCATGGTCTCCTACTTTGTAGTTTGGTACCTTGACCATTACACCATCTTGATTTCCTCACATAGACTGCAATGGGAACAAAAGGGCAGTCAATTATCAACCTCCTATTCTTTCTTATAATAATCTACTTGTTCTTCCCTACCATATTATGCTTTGCTTTGTTCAATCCCAGAATATTTTCTGTTCTTCACTTTCCCTACAGACTGTATTTTTCATACAGCCAACAGTATTTCTCCCACATTTTCCTAGTACCCACAAAAAGACCTGTGGTGCAAAAAGGAAACAAGGGTTACCTGGGCAGTGGTAATTTCAAGCCCCAGGCATGTGATGCACTTAATCAAAAACTGATCCTGTGAGGAATTTGTTTTCCACAGGTAACACTAAGGCAAGCAATGACAGGAAGCAGCTAGATGAGATAGCACAGTTTCATTTTCACTCTCTCTGGCCCAAATGGCAGTTTTATTTTTGGTGTCCACTTACTGGGAGCTGTTAGTAGCTAACTAGAACACAGTAGCCACAATTTAAGGCATACTTAGAAATGTTTTCACCAAATAGAATGGGAACTCCTCATTTCTATGCCTAATATGACTTTTCTAATACTGTAATGGAATATACTTATAGTGCTCAAGCCACTGGGAAAATTTATTTTGCAACCATTTGTCCAACATCTAATAATCTATTGTAACTCCTTATATTGTTCCATTCAGTTAATGTGTACAGCCTTTTTCACTGGCTCAAAACATGAAACATTCTTGATTATGCAGCAGTTATTTGTCTGACTCAAAGTTGCAATCTGATGAGTTGATTCAATTCAAGGGTGTATGTGCATGTGCAGAAGTCCATCAGGTCTTCTGAGTGACTGAAAGACAGTGAATAGAACTGATTTGATTATTCAGTTCAAAGAGATAATTTCCTCAAATCATCTTAAAATCAGATATTTGAATGAAACCTTTGCACAAACTTAGCAATTAGTCGCCTCCGGACGAGATGGACAGCACACAAAATCTAATAAATACTTATGCTAGACACTGATAAATAATTTACTTCAGTTACTATTCACCAAGTATCATTCCTATACAATATAAATCTATTTTAAAGTGTGAGATTGTGACAACAGCAGTGCCTGTGATCAGTAATTTTATAAAACTCTAATGAGATGTATTTATTCAAGTAAATTCAGCTTATTTATTCAGGTAAATTCAGAAGCTGAACTGGTTTATTTTCATTGGAAAACATCCAAAGTAACAAGCTTAATTTTTTTATGAGTTGCTTCATTCCAGTACTATAAGTTCAGTCATGCACATATATTGAAATGGATCTTATTTCAGAGTGTACATTTTTAAATGTAGGGGAAAAAAAGAATACAAATACACAGCAGTGGCTTTTGTGAAATTTCAGAGTTGTAAGTGAGAGACTTGTAAATATGGCATGGTATTATTTTTAAAAATACATATGAAAAACCAATTTAAAAGACTTCTCTGATTAGAAGCAAGAAATATGTGTGTAATTTAATTTGTGTCTTGTTTCTTAGTTTCATAGTACATAGAACTCACATGATAACTAACCTGCCTAATAGCAACATGGAAGATGGAATATCTATAAGTTTTCTCCTGGGATTGAGTAGTTGTTGTATGATTCAGGGAAAATATGAATTTGATTTAAGAAGTGCTACACTCACATTGTCCTATAGTTAAAACCTGTTTTGCCTTTGAATCCAAAGCATTTTACAAGCTTTTTTAAAATCCTTACTCTAAAATAATTTCTTTTGAATTAAGTGGGACTTACTTCCAAATAAATCAGCATTACAACCAAAGTATCATGTTATGCTTTTGGTTTTGCAGAATATTTATTTACTTACCGTTTTCTAGTGGCATTATAATATGAGAACAAGAATAACATTTTTTTGGGGGGGGGAACCCCATAGAAGTCAAGGGCAGGGAATAAAATATGTTTATAGTTGTAAAATCATTTGTCCAATTACATTATAATTTTTAGAAAACCTTACAGATGTTTTTCATACATCTTTCTTATATTATAATCAATTGCCACATGGAAAGTATGGAGGCAGGCAAGAAGAAACAGGCAGGCAAAGATCACAGAAGAAAGCTTATCTTCTCCATGTGAAAGTATATGAAGTAATAACTCAGTAACTGGATTCCCCATTGAGTTTCCTTGTGGGAAGCTAGCAGTGAGCTTTGGAAATCCCCTTTCCTCCTTCCCAAAATTTCTGCTGGCTTCCCCATTTACTTTGCCTGTGGGAAGCTTGCAGGCACAACCTAAGTGTGGAAACCAGCAGAATTGCAAGTCCTAGGGAAGCCACTAGGTAAGTGGCGGTGGTGTTGAAGCAACACCAACTTTCCCAACTTCACTTCACATGAGAATGGGTCCCAGCATTCTGGGTATTTTTTGAGTATCTTGCTTCAATAGTTATTGACCTTTGATGTATCGTTTTGCTCAATTAATGTTACAAATAGATGTCAGAATTTTAGCATTTTATAGACAAAGCAGAGATATGTCAGTGGTAGAATATAGATCAACAGGATCCTCATTACAGCCAATCTATTCTAAATTCAGTTATCATTTTTCTGTTCTTTTATATAGCACTTTGTGATCCACTGTGTGAAAATGGAGGGACCTGTATCGGTCACAATATCTGTTCCTGTGCATATGGATTTGTTGGTTCAAGATGTGAAACACGTAGGTATACTATTATGCATATGTAACTTTATCAATCTTCCCAAGTTTTGATAGATAATAAATAATATGAGAAAAGAAGAAAGCAAACTTTACACAACAACAGCAATAATAATAACAATAATAATTGGGAAGGACTCGATGGGTAGATAAAAATGCTAAATCCAATCTATGCATCTGGCTGACTGTGTGACAAACCATAATTCTGGCATTATTTAAATCACCTAGTATGCAATATGTAAGTCAGTATTTCAATATTAATAAATACATTTAATGCTCAATAACATCATATCTGATTCTGTACTTTCTAAAAGCATATTAACACCATAAAATGTATTCAATCTTTTTCAGCACTTACTTTGTAACAGCTCTGTTGCAGAGAAACATTGTTTATAGTAATGTTTGCAAAATTCAATGCATGGGAAAAATATATTAATATACTGAGTATATAATGGGCTTGGAGGGGAATGGCCATTAAGAGTCAGGCTATTGTTCAAAATATATACTAATATGTTAATAACTTTAAAATAATCTGCCTTTAAAACTAGTCACAATTTAATAATACACATATATTACACTATTTTAACTACAAACTTTGGTCAATAACTGAATATCTTGTTGTCCTTGATCATTGTTTTAAAATATCTCTCTGCAAAGATATCTACAATAGATTTAAAAGATGTTTCTGTATGAATCAGGTTTTTTTTTAAATGAAGGGTTTACATGACATTTGAATTTTGGTTTTAATAACATAGTCCTTATGAAGCTCTCAATGGCTGCCCTGATTTCAATCAGCATGATTTAGAGCAAAATACAGGTACTAATAATTGGTACAATTGACCTTGCCCTAATTTGTTTTTCAGTGGTTTGTAATAAGCATTGTCACAATGGTGGGAAATGTGTGACACCAGATGAATGTCAATGCAAGGCTGGATGGAGTGGTCCTTTATGTGAAACAGGTAACCATATACTAAGAATTTCCATGAAGACATAGTATGTAATAATTCTCTTAAAGATATATCATGCAGCTTCTGTGATGCATTTAACTGGGACTGATATCAAATTCTCTACTGAGAAGCGAGGCAAGCCCTCAGTGTCCTCTGGTCTTTTGGAAATGTCTGAAGACCTGGCTTTGCTAACTCTCTTGGACTTCACAGAGAAGCACGCAACCATGGGGTTGGTTAGTGCCCTGAAGGCCCTCCCCACACCTTTTAATTAACTTTTGTGTGGAATTTAACTATCCTTGCCTCTATTGAAAATTTTTGAATTTAATTTTTACATTTATTTTATTTGTACACCGCTCAGAGTCTCTTTCTGTGAAGAAGGTAGATGGTGCCTATATTTAATAGATAGATGATAGATAGCTAGAAAGCTAGCTAGCTAGATAATAGATAGGTAGATGGGCAGATCGGTAGATAGATAGATAGATAGATAGATAGATAGATAGATAGATAGATAGATAGATAGATAGATAGACAGATAGATAGATAGATAGACAGATAGACAGACAGACAGACAGACAGACAGACAGACAGACAGACAGACAGATAGATAGATAGATAGATAGATATAGCTACACCCATAGCCATCATCCCACTTACAAGTAAGTCCTCTTTTGTAGAGGACTGAATTTTTTCCCCTGTGTCAGCGTTCCAAAGCTGACACCCTGTTTGTAGGTGCCTAATTTGTTTTTAAGACTAAACAAGATAATATTTGGCATTATATTATACAACTACCCTGTGTCAGAAACACTAAAGCGCTTCTGTGATGAAAGGATTAACCAGTGACATCATTATTACCTGGGGGCTCCTTTCATTAGTGACCCCCCCAAAAAGTGGTACCTATTTATCTAATTACCTTTACATGCTTTAGAACTGTTAGGTTGGCAGGAGCTGGAGTGAATGACAGGAGCTCACCTTGTCACACAGCAGCACTCAGGCTTCAAATGCAGGCTTGCAAATTGTCAACCCAGCCTAACCACGTGAGCCACTGTGCTCCTACATTTGACATTTATATATATTAATTATGGTACAGGTAATTTCCACAAGATACAGCATTCTAACATCCATTATCTGTACTCCTTGCCCACCTGTTTGGATCTACTTGTGATTTCCATACATTCAGTGCAGTGGTCCGTTAGACCATTCTGAAAACATTGCATTTTCTTTTGATTATGAAAAAAATGGTGTGGTGGACATTTCTGGTGGAGTAGACTTTTCTTAGTCTACTTTCCTTGTTTTTTCACCAACAGCCAAATGTCAAGCCAAAGTGAAGATTCAATCTTGGGGCTGCATGCGGCCTCTGAAGCTTCTATTGGGGACCTTCAAACATTCTGTAATATGACAGAAGGGAAAATGTTTTATAATATGATCAAAGATTTGATGAAAGATCAGAATTTTAACAGTTTTAATGTAGAAACAAATGAAAATCAAACGTATAATTTTAGCTAAAAACCTATGACTTATTGGATTTATACTTCCTGAAATATAGAATCCAACTCTTAAGGAAGGATCGTAAGTAGAAAAGCACATGCTTTGAAGATTTTTGTGAACTGTAATTAGCACTCCCAGATAATGCTGGCAAATATGGGGTGGGGGTTCCAAATATCTGAAAATCACTATAAATGAAGAAGTGTGGGTTCTTTTAACCTACAAACTGCACTTGGTCAGTGGAAGCTACACTTTAATGCTAAATCTGATTTCATTCCATTTCACTTTCATTAACACCATTTATGAATTGACAAAAATTGCCTTTTCCCTTTGGCATAGTAGCATGCTACAGTGGCCATTGGGGGGCTTAAAGAGTCCAGGTTCTGCATTTTTAGCAAAGTCAGGAGCGAAATAAGTGGAATCAGAGTTAGGATCTGGCAAAAACTGATGCAGAGTAAGTTCTTACACAAGTTGAAGTGCACCAAGGAAGCCAAGCACGCAAACCACAAACAACATCCAAGCAGTGATTCAACAAACTCTCCTGCTTCCTGTTGGGACCGCTTTTCTGAATTATTAATAATCTAATTGGCTATAATATAACATACTGTCTTCATAAATCTCAGGTTGACATCATGGCATCAGCTGTATTCAATATTTCACGTTCTGATTAATACAAAAAAATGGGGAGATCTGAAAATGGTCAGGGTACCCCTGTAAGGATTCTTACTGTTAATATTATTTCTGTCCTCTTTTTTTGACCATATATTTACTGGGGGGGGGAGGGGGAGCAGCTTTCTTAATTACTAGATTCAAAGAAAACAGAATCGTACAAGTTGCTTTTTTAATTGGCTACATTATTCAACAAAAATGTAATAAAAGCTGAATGCTGAGTGAAGTAAAAGGTTTATTGTATTTATTGTATACACGTTTTAGGTTGTTTTTGTCAGTTTATATGAATAACCCTTAAGAATTGAATGTGTAGCAGTTTGTACATCCAGGTCAATGCATTAATGTTCTTAAATACTAATAGCACTCATGGCTTTTAGCTTCAGTTAGTTTTCACTGAAAGCATTTCACATTGACTAATATACAAACACAGAAATATGCATATAAGTATCATAAAGGTATTCATGTCTAATTGTATAATTCATACAAATTAATATATTTTATAGATTTGCTCAGATCACTAAATAAACATTGAATAAACATTCAGATATCTATATTTATAATTTGATTAATTTTATCTTCAAACTAACGAAGTAACTCCCATTTTTTTAAAGCTGTTGTGTCTTATTCAAAACAAGGCAACATGGATGATATTTTGGACATAAATGCCACTTTATATTATTTATAGATTTGACTGAAGCCTCATTTTTACTGCATTGGTAAAATACAAGGCATATACTTCATGCTATAAACCAGTAAATAGTGGCCAATGTATAATGGACTTCAATATCATCACACTTACAACAAATTGAAAAAGTGTTACTGCTTCTATAATGGACAGAGAAAGAGAGAGAAAATGCAGAGAAGAAATTTGTCTGAAAGTGCCTCACAATTGAAATGCACCTGGAGAAAAAGATTGCAAAACAGATATTAAACAAAATCGTACTGTGATTCTAGGAGACCAAATGCCTCATTGCTCACTGAGCCGCTGTTTAAAACAGAATCATTCTGTGTTCCTAATAAAAAATAAATAAAGTGAGAGAGCAAGGAAGAATTTGATATTTTCCTCCTTACCGAAACTAAGTTTTTATTTTTGTGTTTTATTGGGACAGTTATTTGCAAACCCATTTGCCTAAATGGTGGGACCTGTATTCGCCCAAATATATGTGCTTGCCCATTTGGTTTCTTCGGGCTTCAGTGTCAATCTGGTAAGATGAATAAATTAAATTCCAGTGATTAAATATTGCTTCCCTTCCCTAAAATAATATCTTATATTCTTTCCCATTATTTGTTGCATCTTTACTTTCATTCAAAACAAACCATGTGCTGGCATATTTATATCATTGGTCGCCAACCAGTGGGCCAGGGACCACTGGTGGTCTGTGAGAAAATTTTGGTGGTCCACAGAGAAATGTCACCCCCAAAGCACCCCCAAAGCAATTAATCCAGGCTGTGTGGGAACACAAGGCTGTGCTGCCCACATGGCCCATGGGAACACAAGGCTTGTGTTGCTTGCATTGCGAAAAACACAAGGTAGTGAAGGGAGGGGGGTGAGGGAAGGGGGGGAACTTGCTCCAATTACCCCACATGCCTAGCCTGGCCACTGGGATGCTCTTTTCTGCTTCTTTCTTCTTCTTTTGGCTGCACACAAGGAAAGCAGCAACAATCTTTCTTTCTCTCCCCCAAACTCCACCAGAAATGAATCTTTGGGACCCTGCAAGGCATCCTGTTCCAAGAGGCTGCACTGGCAAAGACTAATTTCTGGCAGAGTTTGGGGGAGAGAAAGAAAGACTTCTGCTGCTTCTGCTGCTTTCCTTGCATGAAGTCAAAAGTCTCTCTCTCTCCCTCTGAGAATGGAGCTGGAGATGGTATCCTGCGATCCCAAATAAAGAATGAGTGATTGGTAGGAAAACCGGGTAGGGGATTTTCCTGCAGACTTTTTTTTTGGATTTTCCCAGGGTCTCTGTTCTGCAGAATTTAAAATTTGGTGTTTGGTGGTCCCTGAGGTCCAAAAGGTTTGCGACCCCTGATTTATATGACATGCATAGTAAGATGTTAATTGAGGTAGTGCTATATATCGAGTTGCCCTGTATTATTTTTAAAGACAGAAAGACATATATGTAAATAATGTATAGAGTGTATCACAGCAAACAAATCTGTTATTCATAATGAACTCAACTTTAAAATATATGTTGGAAAAATATCACAATATACAGTACTTTACTATATCAGTATGTTGTATGTGAGAGAGCTTGATAAACACTATATTACTTTAAACTAGAGTTAAAAAAAATGGATAGATGGTAAGTTTCCTTTTTGTTCTATCAGCCAGGAGATAAATTCTCCTTAACTCATTTGCATGTACTGTTTTTCTCCCCATACACAGACTCTTTCTAATAATCTGATATAAATTGCTGTTATACATATAATTTTCCTAATCTAATATAATTACAAGACTGTTAGCAGTTCAAAATATGTTACACATTTAGGGGTATGATTTGTTTGTATTGCAGCAATCCATACAGTAATTTCTTCCTGGTCAATACTACATAGATTGTTTTAAAATATGAAATATATTAAATTATATTATGGTCAAGGTAGAGATAATTTTGCACTCCATACTTTGGTTTCTTCTGGTTTGCTCTATTCTAATGAAATACAGCTTAAGAAATTTCCTGACAGTAAGGACAATTAACCAGTGGAATGGCTTGCCTTCAGAAGTTGTGGATGCTCTATCACTGGAAGTTTTTAAGACAAGATCGGATAGACATTTATCTAAAATGGTATAGGGTTTCCTGATTGAACAGGGGGTTGGACTAGAAGACCTCCAAGACCCCTTCCAACTTCATTATTCTTTGTTCTGTTAAGAAGAAAACTTTTGAAAACTGTGCAAAATTTTGCCATTTCATATCCTGAAAGACAAAGTTAAAACAGTCCCAGCTCTGATAGTAACAGACAACTGCCATTTGTCACCAATTCTGCTAAGCATCTATCAGAGATTTTGCAGTTAACTCCCAAGATTTAAAACTGTCTTTCAGTTTCTCATTTAAATTGTTTTTTTCTTATCAGCAACTTTTAGAAAACAGTGTTTGATTGTTATATTTTTACTGATTAAAATATTCCAATCGTTGAAGTCCACATACCCTTATTACATCTAATTGTGCCTATGATCTACACATAAACAAATTAATGCCTCATTAAATCCTCATTAATAGTGGTTTGAATTATCTTGTTGCAATGTTGTTTGTAATTATTGCATTTTGTTTTAAATTGTGTGATTTTTTTAATAGTATTGTTTCTTAGCTGTCTGTGGGGGGAGATGAGGAATTAAAGAAAAACAGTAATTGTAACAGAAGTAATACAATACAATATAATTATTACAATAATAGTAATGATGATGATTTTCATTGAAAGCCTAAAATAGAAATCTTAAATGAACAAGCTCAAAGTAAGTTTCATTTAAATCCCTTCTAAGTACTCCATATGTAACATTGCACTGTAAAGCTAACCCCTAAATACATTTATTTAACCCAGCAATCTCTCAAACTCCACTCATATCATCTTTGATAAAAAGGCTATATAGCTACTACCCTACATTTCTTTACCTGAAATGGAGTAAACATATATAGTGGGACATTTTTCTTAGAAGACATATAAAATGTAAAGGTTTCCCTGTCAGTCATGTCTGACTCTAGGATACAGTGCTCAATTCCGTTTCCTGGTTGAGGGAGCCAGTGTTGCTTGAAGACAATTTCCATGGTCATGTGACCATGGTGCAGAGAATGCTGTTACCTTCACTGAAGTGGTACCTATTAATCTACTTGCATTTGCATGCTTTCAAGCTGCTAGGTGTGCAGGAGCTGGGGCAAGTTACAAGAGCTCACCCCATCATGCAGCGTTCGGGTCTCAAACCCAGGCTGCCAGCTCTCCAGCTGACAAATTCAGCATCTTTAACTGCTGAGCCATTATTCCCCCATAAACTTATATAGGGCTGTGTATAATGATAAACAGTAGTCCATTATGTCATTTAAAACATTCTTCCAGACCATACAAAATATAGCTCACCACATAGGCTATCCTGTTATTGTAAATGTAATGAAAGCTATATTGGTCTGAGCCACTTATTGTGCCAAGCTATGATTTGTGCAGTCATGGTAATATAACAACAACAACAACAATAATGGGAAGGGGAAGGGGAGGAGGAGGAGGAGGAGGAGGAGGAGGAGGAAGAAGAAGAAGAAGAAGAAGAAGAAGAAGAAGAAGAAGAAGAAGAAAAATAATTACTAAATATAAAGAGCTGCAAATAGAAATGGAATGACTGTGGCAAAAGAAAGCAAAGGTAGTACCAGTAGTTATAAGCACCGTGGGCACAATTCCAAAACAATTGAAGTACCACCAGCATTGACAAAATCACCATTAGTCAATTGCAAAAGGCAGCTTTATGCGCAACAGCTTACATATCTGTAACACCATCAAACATCCACATCTGCCTATCCCAGGTCCAGGACTCAATAAGCAGACAAAAATGCCAAATCTAGTCTGAACATCTGGCTCACTATGCAACAAATTATAATAACTAATAATAATTGCATAATCAGTACACTACCTCATAAAGTATGGTGGCTGAGCTAAAAGAACTAAAAGAAAACAAACCACATTCTGGCTTTTCTTCATATATAAAGCTATGCTAGAATAATGAAAATCCTTTGATGGGAAGTCTTCCTTGAGAAATCAGATTCTATCAGTAATATGTAATTCTAAATACCAGCAAGGGCATAGTATTACCAAGGACTTGTGCCATAGCATTAGGCTGCTGATATCTATTTTGCAATTTCTGTCCTGTTACCAGTAACCTTGGTTTATTTGTTTGCACTATAATTAGCATTCTGCAATCCTCCTTGTAAGAACAAAGGGCTATGTATGAGAAACAACCTCTGCTCCTGTATGGAAGGTTATGTTGGAAGAAGATGTCAGAAAAGTAAGTTTTTCCACTTTGCTTTAACTTTCCAAATATCTCTTGCCTTAGAAATACTTTATCATCTAGGGAGGATTCTTATTGCAAGCATATTAAACAGGATCCTTTGCCTGGATTAATCTTCTAATCTTTCATTTTTACATCATGGCACGTATATCAGTAACTTTACCACAAAAGGCATTCTTTTCATTTACTGGAGGTTTCCTTATACTATATCCCAGTTCATTAATGTCACTAATATTACATCAAAGACAAGAAAAGGTTTAAGCAACTTTAGATCTGATCCTATCTATGTATATATTTAAATTCATTCCAGCTTAATAGAGAAAATATGTATGAGAGATAAGCTAATTAGATGAATTAAAGTTAGTCAGGAAAGTTGTTAAAGCCCAATCCACAGACATTGACTGGGACAATTTAAAATGTCACTGCTTACAATTCTTCTACCCTAATTAATACAATTAGTTGAGTTGTGTTTATGTGTTTTGGTGGCCTCTTTTCTCATTATTAGTCACAATGTTATCTATTCCTACATAATTGGACCACTTTTATCAGGTTTTTTTAGTATTTCACTAAAAGTGTAAGCTATGTTCTGCATGCATAAGTAAACCTATTAAAAACATCATAACTAGTAGAACCTTCCACATATTAACAGCAATAAATTTGTTCCCTAATACTAAGAATGATTAAGAACATTTTATCTCTATCGACAAGTGTCCAGTAGATTTTTTAAAAGACAGGCACACAGAATGCTCATTTGCCATGACAGTTGAATATTACAATAGCACAAAACAGTCTGAAAGTCAGATTGCCCATACAAGAATGTCCATTTATTTAATAATAAACTCATCGGATTTACTTTTGAGTACCTGTTATAACTCTTCATAGCTGCTGCAGCTCTTGCATGCTTAGAGAATATCCATTGAACGTCATAGGAGTCACTGTCTAGTAAACCTGCACAGCCACATTGAAAAACATCTAAAATCTTTCTAGGGTACAAATGTTTTTTTTATATTTCAGGTTTTCCCAAAAATCTCCCAGGGAGCTATACTACTAGAGGTACAAATAATGTGTACTAAGTTATTTAAATGGATGAAGAAAAATATCAATGTTTCAGTTCAAGCCATTACATAGTCAATTTTCTTTTGCCAATGTAGAGTATGCAATTTCTATTCCCTATTCATATGACTTCTGTCTCTACCTAACTGGCTTTGCTGTGTGCCCCTAAAATTTTCCTTGATCATCTCAATCCACTTGCTTTTCCTGTTATGCCAGTAGCGTAAGAGTCAAATAGATTTGCTACGCATATCAGGCAGCTAGATTAGACTGAACATGCTAGGAAAGTTTTCTGCTTCTTAATTACTTTACCACTTTATATATCCTGTATCTAGTCACCAACAAAGAAATATCTCATCCAAAGAGCATATCCTGTTGGCTAATAATATTAATTATACATTGTGTAATGTGGTATTGGACCAGACTGTTGCAATGATTTAAACCTGCCATCTAGAATGTTTACTTGGAAGCATATTTGGTGAATTCAGTAAGAGCTCCTTGAAAGAAAATGGCAGTAAAATTAATAAACTGGTATCAGCGTATTTCTATAGCAATAGCTATGAACAAGTGACAAACATATCTAAATCAAACTATGGCCCATTTGTAGATTGAAAATTTAAAGGATGTTTAAAGGTGTTTTAAAAATATGATTTTCCAGAAGGCTTAGCACCTGTTCAATTAGGCCTACCAATTAAGATGTTTCGGACTCATATAGTACCCAAATCATGAAAAATCTATAACTTAAAGGTACATCCTGGTAATTGATGTGACATGTCATAGTCACAGAGAATTACAATTATTGTAATCATCAGTTACACTGATACAATGTGGCAATTTGAATGAGAAGTTACCTTGGTTTGCAATCATTGTGGTACAGTTATAATATCTAAAACCAGTTCTACATCTGGCAAGTTTGCTTTGTTTTGTTTAATTATTGAGAAGCGAAGTACAGGTAGTTGTCCTTACCAACTTTGTTCAATGAGTGTTCAAAGTTAGGAGCACAATGAATAAAGAGACTTACAACCAGTCCTCAGCCGGGATGACAAATCAAGTCCTGGGGACTGGACATGGCCTGCAGGGTGCTTAGATCTGGCCCACAGGACCACCCTGAAAACAGCAAACAACCAGCCTGCAGTGCCTCTTCCAGTGAAAATGGAGCTTGGGAGGGCCGCATGCAGCCCTTGTGAGCTCCATTTTCTCTGGCAGAGGGTTGCAGGAGGCCGTCTCATCTGAAAACCAAGATTGGGAGCCCATTTACACTGGCAGAGTGCTCAGGCCACCACAGGTGCCCCTAACATGAGTGACATCAAGCTGGCTATGCCTACTCTGGCCACGCCAGAGGTCTCATACAACCCTGATGCAGTCCTCAATGAAATCGAGTTTGATACCCCTGCATTAAAGCATCTCCATAATCATGTGATAGCAATTCAAGAGCTTGGCAACTGGTACACTGGCCACAACATCTCATAGTCACACGCTCACTTTTTGTGACTTCTGCGGCCGGCTTCCAACAAGCAAAGTCAATGAGGAAGCCAGCAGAAAGTCACAAGTCAGAGTTCTGTGGCGTCTTTCTTAATGACCTGTGGTGATTCATTTACCAATCAGAAATTGAACTGACAAACTGCTGTTGTAAGTCAGGTGTAGTCACATGAATTCTCACTTTACAACCTTGTCATGTAGTGATGGAATTACTGGTCCAAGTTAAATTTAGCAAATGATGACAATCTGTTTTCTAAGAAGATGTTCCCCAAGTCTTTTAATTGTTTCCCTATCTAAGGGGGGATAGACTTATATTATAAGCACTGTGATGGCACAGTGATTAGAATGCAGTATTGCAAGCTAATTCTGCCAACTGGCAGCAGTTCGATTCTCACTGGCTGAAGGTTGACTCACACTTTCATCCTTCCAGGTGGGCAAAATGGGGACCCAGATTGTTGGGAGCAATAGGCTGATTCTGGAAATCAATTAGAGAGTGCTGTACTATAAAGCACTATAAAGCAGTATATGTGCTGTCTAAGTGCTATTGCTATATTGATCAATAGAAATCCATTGCCTTTTCATATCCATATCAATAAGCCATAAAATTTTGGGAGGGGGAGATGTTTATTTATTTATTTAAAAATTAACCACAATTTATTATGATATAAGGCACCGGTGAGCACAATTGCTTCCTATAGGAATATTTTAAAGTATACTTTATTTTTAAAAAAATAACAAGTTGCTTTATGTGTTTTTCTAGCAATACTAACCTCAGTCATATTCTGCATCATTACATAATTGTCTTACAAGAGACTCACATCAGTAAATCTTAGTGTTCAATGGCTATATCTCTTTTTCACTACAGGTTATGCTCGAAAGAGGATTCAACCAAGGAGCTCTTGGCATCTTCATTTTAGCCAAACTATATCCAAGCATGTCATTTCTCATTTCTTGCCTATAGTTATTGAACTGAAACCAGATAACAAACACTATTGCTGTTAATCAATGTCTATTTAAATCATTTTAATGACATCGGGTGTATGTTTGATGATTATCTCCTGGGTTTGTTAGTAACATATACCAACTTTGAACTAATTCTTGCTAGTGACTTTAATGTGGCATTGAATCCAGTGAAGAACTCTTTACTTCCTCTGTTTTATTTTAATTATCTATTGGTCACTTTTATTTCCAGCCTGCTTTCTTGAAAGATAAGGAAAATAATTACAGAGGGTAGAGATTAGCTAATTAGAATTGGGTTTGTTTGTTTTTAAAGTCTAATTGAATCAGTTAAAGGCTGCTCCTAAGACAAAATCATTTAGAGTGGAAATGGGTAGAAGTGCTATTCATTATATGTAAATCTCAAAAGATATCCATCAGAATAGTTGGTTTTAAGATTGATTTTATTATGATAGGGTTCATAATCATTTCTCTCTTAACCTGAAATTACATTATCAGGCTTCAGGTTTTAAGGCCAGAGCACAGTTATGCATGTGAAATTACCTCCGTCAGGAATACTCAATAGCCACTTTCCTTTTTTTTTTTTAGCATCCTTGTAGTCTCTCAATGCCCTAAAGCTATTAGAAGTTATTAGAAAAAATAATAGGATTATTGGATTGAATCTAAAGAAACATTGAAAGACGCTGCTGAAAAAAAGTAGAAATGGTTAATTAGAAGAAGGTAGCTGAAGCAACAAACGATCAATAATCCACATATTTTATTTTGGGTTTTTTTGCAATTTTTACAGCTGAAAATGTCTCTAGGGTAGGGTGCTCATTTCAACTGAGGCATAGGTAAAGGTAAAGGTTCCCCTGCACATACGTGCTAGTTGTTTCCACCTCTAGGGGGTGGTGGTCATCTCCATTTCAAAGCTGAAGAGCCAGCACTGTCCAAAGATGTCTCCGTGGTCATGTGGCCAGCATGACTAAATGCCAAAGGCACATGGAATGCTGTTACCTTCCCACCAAAAGTGGTTCCTATTTTTCTACTTGCTTTTGAACTGCTAGGGACAAGTCCCACCAAGCTGCCAACCTTTCTAATTGACAAGCTCAGTGTCTTAGCCACTGAGCCACCACGTCCCTGAGAGCCTATTCAGAACTAACATCTTTGGGTGATGACTATAAAATATTTATTTGGTTGGTCTCCCCTACTGTTGCTGAGATATCTGCCCTCAGAGCAGAGCTAAAGAATAATAAAGTTGTGTGTGAAGCGAGGAGGGAATTTGACCTTGACAGAAATATTAAAAAGCAAATTTTGACTGGTGGGCTGTCATACTAGCTAGCCTGTATTACCACACTGACTTTTCCTTTCAGATACATGGCTAGTATCAATCTCTAACTTTAAAAAAAGTAGTAAATTACCCTGACCGATTTATGTCCAAAACAGTCTCTTGGGCATTATTAGAAAATTAAAATCCAGGCATCTATATAAGAAAGTTGTTGACTGACTGACTCAATATAATATGTTGCCAA